TGAGAGAAGCGCCGGGCCGGGCGGGCGTCCCGCGGCAGCGGGGCCCGGGGAGTGCGGGGCGGCTCCGCCGGCTCCCGCTGCGGCTTTGGCCGCCGGTAGCGCGGCGCGGGGAGCGATGGGCCTGCCGTCTTTGTTTCTCGGTGGCGTGGGGAGAGTGGGGAGAAGGTGGCAGCTCGGGGGTGGAACGGGCCGGGGGGGGCTTTTGCCTGAGGCACGGAAAGGAAACTCGGTAGGAGCGCCGTGCCTTTAAAAAGCAGTAAGGAACCGGTTCTTATTCCCGATGTGGTTTCTCCTCCCTAGATTCTCCAGGGCAGCGCTGTGGATTGGGACCACCTCCTTCATGATTCTGGTTCTTCCTGTCGTCTTCGAAACCGAAAAGCTGCAGATGGAGCAACAGCAGCAGCTGCAGCAGCGACAGGTGAGGCGGGGGGACCCCAGCTCTCCCCCACAGCCCTTCAGAGCCGGCTGCTGAGGGAGCTCATGGAGCAGAGCATGATTTGTTCCAACCTTCTGGCCTCCTGCGTCCCACAGGATGCTCTGGTGGGACATTCCGATGGGATGATCCCGCTGATTCCCAGTAAGAGGCTGGTGGGGGGCACTGGCAAACACAACCAGGCCTTCGCTGGGGCCAAAATGGGCAGTGGGGGCTCACGCAGTGACCCCCCCACCCTCCCTGCTTGTGTTTGGCGTGGCCAAGCATTAAACTTGGTTGTCGTAGCAGGGGAGGAACTGATACGGCAAAAACAGTGCCCCAGCCAGTAGCAAGGAGAGGGAAGGGCCGGGGGAAGCTGCCCCGTGTCCTCACAGTCCCCCCCAACTCACCCTTTCCCTTCCAGATCCTCCTTGGACCCAACACGGGGCTCTCGGGGGGAATGCCAGGGGCCCTGCCTCCACTCTCCGGAAAAATCTAATCTGTGGGAGCCGCGCTGGATTCATATCATGTGGGAAGACCTTGAGATGATGATACATCGAACTATTGATTTGTTGGGTCAGGGCATTTTATTTTTTTTTTCGGTTGTTTGTTTTTATTTTTGGTTCTCCTTTGGGACATTGACCTGTTCATAACAAGGGTGGGGGGAAGCCCCCCCCTCCTCTCTGGACCTGATGGCGGCTCCTGTTCTGCATCCTCTCCCCCTGCCCCGTAGAAGTTGTGAGTTTTTCCTGTGATTCAATCAATCAGTACGCCAGAAACCGGTTACAGACTTGAACTGGGGGAAGCTCCTCTTCCAGCCTCCTCACCCCACCACAAAACCACCCCCGGGGGCACGGGTCAGTCAAACAACAAAACCCAGGCAAAGGAAAGGAAAAAAGGGCGTGGGTAGCCATACCCTGTGGAAAAAAACACGTGCTGGGGGAAGAAGCATCTGCAGAAACACCATCACTGCGACTTGAGACGTGTGTGTGTGCGCGTGTGTGTGAACCCAAGGGAGCAGCAGGCCAGGTTTGAGACGATCACATCCGCGCTGATCCTCTGCCTCATAAAGTAGAACTTCAGATATCGGCTGCGTATTTTTTTGTATCGAATATTAAATAAATCCAACCTGAGCAGTGTGGTTTTAATAGACGTCCTTTAGGGAGGCTCAGTCCTTTCGGAGCTGGTGGTGGCCTCGCGGGGTAGAGACCCTGCCCTGTTTCATGCGTGACCACGGGGGAAGGGATGGACAGGGCTCTGTGTGCCTTAAGGGAGTTATCAGAGCAGGGATTCGGAATAAAAGACTTCATAACTCTCAGAAAGGCTGCAGTTTTATAACCAAAGAAAAAAAAAATTTATTTTTTCCTTTACATACTTTGTTACAGAACAATTCAGCTGAACGTACAGAAGTGATAGGACATTTATATGGAAACATTTTTTTTTTTCCTCCATTTTTTTTAATATTTGGTTAAACAAAATACATCTCTGTAAACAAACCCAAGACGAGGCTCTAACAAAACCAAACAAGCAAGAAAAACAAACCACGGGCTTCCCCGCTGCCCAGGAGTGGGACTGGACCCGCTCGCCCACCCTGAGGCACGGCAGCCTGGCCTCGCCTCCCTCCCCGCGTGTGATCGGACACTTTCCCTTTACCTGAGCAGCTGGATCACACTGTTCCCTCCCTCCCCACCCCTAACCCCCCCCTCCCTACCCCACGGGAAAG